TAGACAAACCGACTTCTCTGATAATTATTTCTAATGATTAATATTGACAGAATCCAGGTTCATAGGAAATTACAATGTATTTCTGCCTGGTTCAGCTGAAACATAGAGGCACTTTGAAAGGCTAAGTAACATTTTCTAATGGAAAGGAGCAGTTTTAAAAGGAGCAAGGCTTTATCTTCGAGCGTTCAGAGTTCTGCATATCTTTCTGCGCCATTAACCACCTTCTCACTTCTATAGGAGATTATGGGGATATTCCTCCCTCTTCTTCTAAGTGACATCTACCTTGAGGACGAGATCTCTGAGTGATCCTGTGTCTCCAGGAGCACCAAGCCCAGTGACTTGGAGATACATATTCATTACATTTTTCAGGGCAGAGATGATATCGGTAGGACCGATTCTTGAGCCAATTTCTTAACTCTGCTTCTAATAAATACAGCCGGGCCTTGACTTACGAGTTTAATTCGTTTCGAGACCTACCTCGTTAAGGAGCTCGTTAAGGAGCTTGTTAACTCAAATTACTCTGTCAACTCAATGCAAAAAATCTGCGGAGAGACAGCTGGTATCTCAAAAAACTCGTTCGTTGGGACACTCGTAAGTCAAGGTCCCACTGTACTGTTGTTTATGTGTCCTTAGGTTCTTAAATGCACATTGATAAGTTTCCAACGCTGAAAAACATATACGTTTCTTTTTCTGGCCCTTTTAGTTATAAACATGTCTTCTCTTCTAGAATCCATTCTGGTTCTGTGATTAAATAGTCTCTGAATTTAAGTGTTATGCCTATTGACATTCTTTTATGTCCCCATTTCCATTTACCATTGACTTTCCCCTCCGTTAGCAGTCACACCTTGGTAGCAACTCAGACCTTGACCAACCATAGGGCAGGAGGTTCCCAAAGGGTAGGTGTGGTTTCCCTTTCATGTCCCACTTACTCCTCAGGGCACGGTGGGCGGGCTTTCACCCCCTCATGCCACTCTAGCTTTTTGAGTTTTCAGAGGACTTTCAGTTTTCTTCATAACTGACCTCTGTGTACCATGTTTTAAAAAGTATCCCTGTCATTCGCTGCTTTCTCTGACACCATCCTTTCCCCATTCTCTTGCCATCAACCCTATTTATTCCCCCATAGAATCTACTTGCTATCAAATCTCCAGGTAATGGCCCAGGTTCTCAGACTTTCTTTCACCATATACTCTCCCTTTGGAAAAGTTTAGCAATTTCCATAGATTTTTAAAAAATATTTTTTATTGATTTCAGAGAGGAAGGGAGAGGGAGAGAGAGAGAAATATCAATGATGAGAGGGAATCATTGTGATCAGAAATTGAACCGTGACCTCCTGGTTCATAGGTTGATACTCAACCACTCAGCCAGGCCGGTGGGACCCAATTTCCATAGATTTAGCCCTCAATTTCAATTACAGACAAACTTCATCAATAGCCTAGGCTTCCTCCTCTCCCCCCAATAATCTCCATACAGATTGTGGCTTAATGGCCAAGTCTAATTGTTTGTCCTGCAGGCATTTCAAGCTGAATGTGAAGAAGGATGGGTTGTGGTTATTAGGAAAGGCTTCTTAGAAGAGATGAGATTTGTGCTGAGTCTTGAAGGTGATTAGGACTCTTCAGGAGAAAGCAGTGAGGGGCGAGGAAGGAGTACAGGTTGATGGAACAGCAATATCATGGCGACCAGAGAGCAGGGCAGGCCTGAGACCAGCTGGTGTTTGGGTGTGAATTATGCTTGGGGTGCCTGCAGAGGAATGACTAGAGAGATCCCAGTCAGCGTGCACATATCTTTGTGTAGAGCATCAGTGGGATATAATTTATGGGTTTTAAGTAGATGAGAGATATGATTTAATTAGTCTATTAGAATATTCATCCTACGGTCGACAGAGGAATGGTCTAGAGAAGATAAAGCTGGAGGCAAAAGACTTCCCTACAAATAATTTAAACCTTTAAACACTAAACAAATACAAATGGAAAACAGAGATGGTGAGATATTTGCCACAAATGCAACCAGTGGTTAATATCTTTCAGTATAAAAAGGTCATACAAATTGATATTAATTTGGAAAATATATAAACATACATTCACGAATGTAAGCATATGGCATTTGTACTAAAACGAGGAAACATCATCCTCATTTGTTAAACATAGTAATCCAAACCGAACAGAAGGAAGATGCTATGGACTGTGTTCCCTCAAAGCTCACCTGCTGAGGTGATGGTATTGGGAGGCGGGCCTCTGGGAGGCCACTAGGTTTATGAGATGACCCCATGGGGGTGGGGCCTCCGTGATAGAGTCAGTGCCTCTAGCTCTCCTCGTTCAATCAGCCATGTGCCTTAGCTGTTTCCTGTTTAGATTTTCCCGACCCCAGTGACAAAGCTCACTTTCTATAGAGGCAGAGGGATGGGGGCTCACATTGTTGCCAGCATTGGGGTTCTTGGGTTCCCTAAGACAGAAATCGAGAGGAAACCCCCGAGAGATTTCCAGACAGATTTTCTTAAGCTGATGCTTGAGCACCAGGGAGGCAGCACAGAGGAAAGGAAGGTGTCTGTCTGGCTCAGGGTCTGGCTGGGCTTGGCTGCGTTCATAAGCTGGGGACCAGGTGGGTTGATGCAAAAAGGAGGCTTTTTGAACAAAGGCGGGCTTGCAGGCTTTTCCATTTCGGGTCGGTGGCTTCCTTTCCAGCTGTGTTGCCTGGTATGTTCTTGCACCTGTGCTGTGGGAGCAAGAGGGCAAATGCTCATTACGGCCGCCCTAGGGAGGTCACGTAGAGGTCACCTGAGCACGTGGGTCGAGTTTACACAGGCACTTAGAAGGGAGATAAATCCAGCCACCCCTGCGTTTTTGAGCAGGGAGTGGAGTGGAGGTGACATTTTGCCGTCAGCGTCTGACCACCTGGTCTTAACGTGGCTTCGTGGCCACCCCGTGTTTTCTGGTCCCCGGCCCAGGCCCCTGTGCTGCCTTCGAATCTCCTTCCTACTCTGTACTAACTCTGTGGTTTCTGCCAGGTCATTGAATGTCTCTAAGCTTTGATTTCCTTGTCTGTTTTGTTGAAACCAATAATGTTCATAAACAATGGATGCAGATCCGCAGATCTTGTTATTTTTTATCCCCCGCCCCCTAATGCCAGGCCTTGGCCATCTCATGCTTGTGAAGTTCAGATTCATCTTCCTGACTCCGCATCCTCCTGACCAGCCACCCTGTTGGATCTTGGTGGGATAGTCTTCCCGAAATAGGTCACCCACCTCACGTGGGTTTTCCCTGCCCTCACTGTTACCCGTAGGGCCTGGCTTTTAAGGACTCCAGAGTAATCTATGTTTATTGAATATTTATTCACATAAATATTCATATATGCTCTTGTTATCTTTTGTGGCTGTTACTAACAAGAACATTGCTGTCATAATGCTTTGTTCTGTCATTAAGTTGTTATATTGTTAAAGCTTCCTGGAATAGCTACCTGGTTGTATGAGCTGCCGCCGCATCTACCATTACAGTCAGATTCGCTTAGTGTAATATTTTGCAAGCAATTTCCTGGCCATTTGGTGCCCATAGGTATTGGCGATAGTTCAGATGTAGTAAAACAATTACAGTTGGCCAATGGGGCAGACACTGGATTATAGTAGGTCCTACTCAGAAGCCTAGACTGACGGCCACACACTTGCTGGTCCTGGGGCTGCATTCCAGGGCCTGGGAGGCTCAGAGACGATGCGACTCTTGCTCATCAGAGGCGTAACCAACGCGTTTTCATGGATCCAGATTTCAGGTTGAAACTGATGACAATAGGAAATCAATGACTGTGCATTTTATTGTTTCAATCTTAGTGAGTCCGCTAAATGGGCCCATTAGAAGGACACGGTGTAGAGTCCCCACCTGAAGGGAAAAGGTGGGTTTTGTTGTTGTTGTTTGTTTTTAGCAGCTTCAGTTATGCTAACAATAGAGCGGCTGCAAAGGAAAATTTCAAACTAGATGATAAAGAATTTTCAAGAGCCTGAAATTCCTTCCTGCTAATTATTATTAGTCCTGTGACCATATGACAGACTGTGACCTGAGTCCTACGTCCATTACAGCACATTCACTAAATGCATGTAAGGACCTCTGGCATCTGAACTTGCCCCCAAGTGCATTCGATACGGTGGCTCCCGAGTGCATGAGATTTTATTAAAAGCACTCTGCTGCGCCATCCACTCCTCCTAATTGGTTTATGGGTAGCCCCCACCCTTCAGGCTGGTCCTAATTGCATTTCTCCACAAACCTAGTTTGATTTATGGCTCCTTATTTGCCCTGCATTTTTAATAATAATAAATTAGAGTAAAATTCTGGAGACATTAAATAAAATTTACAGTGGTGGTTCTACAAACCTGGGGCTTACAGCAGGATTCCTAACAGTAGTTTTGCTTGTTTTTAAAGGCGTTTAGTCAAGGCACATCCTTCTGCGTGATTTCCAGTAATACCGTCTTTATTACGTTTCCAGTTATTTTTCACTGGATTTTTTTATGTACGGATTTTTAAATTACTTGGAATGTTGGAATGGATTGTGTAGAATATTAAGAAAATAGTATGATGTCCTTTTATAAGGTTGTGGATACATTTGTATTTAGAACAGAAAAAAAATATATTCTCTAGAGATATAGTGAGGGAACATCTGCATAAAATCAGGCAATGTCCCTGTTGCAATTGTTAGGAAACTTGAAGCTAAACACTCTGAACTTAACTGCCTTTATTAAAAAGATTTTAAACTAATGTTCAGGCTTTTCTTCCGTATAAAGCAATATTTTAAAGTGACATTTTCTAGGAATGCTCTCTAAAGTAGCTTGAAATAAAGGAGACACTTAACAGTGGTTATAAAATACTTCTATTTGTAGTCGTGAGGTTTTCTTTGTTCATTATTAGTAATCTGCTCTTTACCATCCAGAGTATTTTAGGCAGCCTGGGCCTTAAGGATACCAGGCCTCTCCGTGTATATGCCTCGGTTTGGTTTAAAATCGGATCCTGCTGTTTTCTCTGAAGGTGAAAGGCCCGCCCACGGCAGGTGCATTTAAGGAGAGACCGACCAAGCCCACAGCCTTCCGGAAATTTTACGAGCGCGGAGACTTCCCCATCGCCCTTGAGCATGACTCGAAAGGGAACAAGATCGCGTGGAAGGTAAGTCGG